CAGCCAATGGTCAGCCTTGTGGCTGCAGTAGGAAAAGTGAAGTAGAAACTCTGTTTCTTTGTTGCCATGGCGCCGGTCGGTGATGATGTAGCCGGCCTCCTGAAATCCGTCCATGGAAGGAGGGTCTTGCGTACGTCGACCGGGAAACTCGTCGGATTCCGCTGAAACGAAAGGAGCGAGTTTGGAACAGTGGAACACCGTGTGGACGGGCAAGTGAGGTGGCACCGCGATGCGGAATGAAGGCCACTTAGGATCATCCCCAACTGCAGAGAGAATGCGCGAAGGCCCCATCCACTTGGGAAGGAGCTTGCGAGAGATGTCTTGCTCAAGGCTGAACTCCGCGGCGGAGACCCAAACCAGATCGCCGGCGCGGAACGGGCAAGGAAGGCGATTGCGGTTGGCTTGACGGCTGATCCGTATTTGCGTCTTCGACATCTGATCCCGTGCCTTGACAAGAAGCTCTTGCATGCGACGAAGGAACGCAAGATGGTCGTCGCTCTCGGCTGTGCACGACAAAGTGGCATCCAGCGGCGATGAGATGGGTGAACCATGCTCAAACTTGAATGGCGACATCCCGATAGCCGGATGGATCGATGAGTTGTAAGCCAACTCAACGTCTGGCAAGCGCTCAACCCAATCAACCTGGYCGGGACGGATGAGAGTGCGTAGAAGGACTTGAGCGGTCTAATGCGCCCTTTCCGTTTGACCATCGGTTGGCGAGCCGAACTCGGCTTCAAGGATGAGCCCCATCGCTTGACGAGGGCGACCCAAAAGTCGGAGAGAAAGCGAGTGTCCCGGTCGCAAACGATCTCCTTGGGGTAGCCCTTGGAGCGAATCCAACCGGTGTACAAGACCTCGGCTAACTCCGGTGCCTTTGCGTGATAGCGGCAAGGCAAAAACATGGCGTACTTGGTGAGGCGGTCGACGACCGTGAGGATCCCATCAACGCCGATCTTGTGCTTCGGGAAGGGGCCGGTGATATCCATAGCAATTGCTTCCCGTCGCCCAAGGGGCACTGGTAGTGGGTGTAGCTCGCCGAACGGACGATGGTTGCGTGACTTGCAACACCGACAGGCTTCGCACGACTCACAATAGCGGGTGGCGTCCTTGAGAAGGTCGGGCCAATGGAACCGCTGGCGAAGTCGGCCAAGTGTATGGCTGACACCAAAATGTTCGAAGGTGGGCGCATCGTGAAACTCGCCAAGAAGCCGTGTGCGCAAGTGTGAATCATTCGGCACACAAAGAAGATCCTTACCCCGTGAATGCACAAGTAAGTTGCCCTCTTGGATCCGATAATGCGAAGGCACCGGATTCGGAGAGGAGCAATTTGCGTACTTGTCGTGGTCGGCTTGATAGCCGCAGATGAAGCTCTCCCGCAAGTCGTCGTCGATCTCGAAGGTAGAGTAGATTGCGGTGCAAAGATCCGGTCGCCGTGAGAGGGCGTCCGCAAAACGGTTTGACTTCCCGGGAATGTGATCGGGGAAAAAGTCAAACTGGTCGATGAAAGCCATCCAACAGGCAATGGTACTGTTAATCGTGTCTTGCGACTTGTAGAATACCAACGGATTGTTATCCGTTACCCATCGGAATGCTTTTCGACCAAGGAGGAAATGTCGCCAACGCTTGAGGGCGTGGACGAAGGCAAGAAGCTCCTTCTTTCTTGCGTCGTCGATCGAATGCACGGGAGGTATTTTCTTGCTAAAGTACTCGACCGGGTGCTAGTCCGTGCCATCGTGCTGCTCAAGGACGGCCCCAATGCCATAGCCCGACGCATCGGTAGTGACGCGTGTAGCTAGAAGCGGGTCGTAAATATGTAACACCTCGGCGGACAAGAGTGGCGCTTTGAGTGTTTCAAAAGAATGGCGCGCGTCGTCGTCGAAGTCAAAAGGCCGCTCCTCGCTTTGTAACTTGCTTAGGTTGGCCGCGATCTTCGAGTAACCCTTGATGAAGCGCTGATAATAACCGGCCAAGCCGAGGAAGGATCGGACGTCCGTCACATTCTTCGGCTCGGGCCACTCCAGGATGGCTTGAATCTTGTCCGCCAACGGATGAATGCCTTCCGGAGAGACAGAATGACCCAAGTATTCAAGCTCTTGCCGGACAAACTCGCATTTGTCGCGGTTAGCTTTGTACCAGGCTGACCGAAGAGTCTCTAGAACACGGCGAAGGTGCTCGAGATGCTCCTCTAGAGTTCGGCTATAGACGAGGATGTCGTCTAAGTAGACCAAGACGAAGCGGTCCAACATAGCGCGAGACTCGGTGGTCATGGCCGCCTGAAAGGTGGCCGGGGCATTGGTGAGGCCAAAAGGCATAACTACCCACTCAAAATGCCCATATCGCGTCTTAAACGCGGTTTTGTACCGRTCTTGCGGGCGGATGGAAATCTGATGGTAGCCCGACTTGAGGTCCAACTTGGAAAAGTACTTGGCGCCGCCCAACCGCTCAAGCAAATCGTCAATGCGAGGTAGAGGCCCCGCGTTCTTGATGGTTTGCGCGTTGAGGCGTCGGTAGTCAATGCAAAGTCGAAGGTCCTTGTTCTTCTTCCGAACGAAGAGAACGGGCGCACCGTAAGGTGAGCTGCTAGGGCGGATCCAACCCTTGTCAAGTAGATCGTTGAGTTGCGCATGGAGAACCGTGAGCTCCTCCTCGGACATGCGATAAATGCATCCCTTCGGTGGAACGGCACCGGCCTCAAGTATGATCTCATGAGAGATTGGTCGGTCCGGCACTATACCGGAGGGTGTCTCAAAAACATCYGAGAACTCGTCTAACAACCGGGTCACACGGGGGTCGGAAGACACATCCGTGGGCGATGAATCGGTCGTCGGGACGGTTCAAAGAAAAGCGATGCCAATCTCTTCGGCATGCTCGGGACGGCATGTGTCTCGAAAAAATTTGGCACTCACGACTTGGCACCGAATGGAAGAGCGAGGAGGAGGAATAGTACACGGGACCTCGGCGCCTGTTGCATCACGAATCGTGAGCGTGCGTCGATGGAAATTGACCGTGCGGTCCGCGCTAGAAAGCCAAGGCATCCCCAAAATGACATCGAAGTCGGTGTCCAACACATCAAAAGTGACGGGTTCACATGCGTGCGGTGCAAAGTACACCGGGACAGCCGAGATGTAACGGTCTAAAAGTTGTTTCGTCTTACCGTCGTCAAGAGCGACCGTCGTCGGATGTGACTTCCTCCGTACTTGTGCGCCAAGGCCAGCTCGAGTCATGAAGGACTGGCTGATGAAGTTGCGAGTTGCACCGCAATCTAGCAAAGCGTTGCAGGCCGCTTGCCCAATCTGAATGCGAACGGAGAGCAGCGGTGCGTTGTTTTCTTCGTACCGTTGCGAGACAAATTCGCGGGCCACCTTGGCAACGTAGCCAAGCATGTCCCCCACTGCGACTTCGTCTACCGTCGGCGAAGTTGGTGGTGCATGGAAGGAAAGATACTCGTGTAAGAGGGCGCATAGGGCTGCGCTTTGCGGCCCCGRAAGGTTGCCCGTCGTAGGGAGAGGAACCCAAGCGAAATCCTCGGGCGTGAGCGGGTCCAAAGCCTCCTCGTTGAACACGCTTGCGGAATCCCTTGATGAAGACGAACTGGCGGAAGAACCTTCGGACGGTGAGAAAGCCGCACATGTATCTTGTCCTTGAGAAGCATCCAGTGAAGGAACGAGCCGGGCAGCGAAGTCTTCGAACGAAAGTGGAAGACTCCTGACATCCGCATATGCCTTGGAAGAAAGGGCGGTCGTGGCCACAACCGCTTCCGATGGCGTCGAGGGAGGTGTCGAGTCCCCCTCGGCGGCGCCTACTTTCCCGGACGGGGTTTCCCCTTGGTGGGGCAATGTGCAACATCATGGATAGTGCTGTTGCACCAAAGGCAATAACAGTACTTGAGCCGCGTGCGATAGGAATTCGCCGAGAGTCCGTATTGCGCCCAAGGTTCGTCGGCTGCTGATCCGGTGCTCGGTGTAGAGGTGGACTGAGTCTTCGTCTTGTCGCGGCYGTGRTTGTTRCGCGGYCRGCCACCATCCCGGGCAGCTGCCAACACTTCACCCTCGTTTGGTGTTGCAGCCTCGATAGAAGTAATGCAAGCCACCTTTGGCTTGGGCTGGGTGCCGCTCGTCGTCGCGAAAGATCGGCCGGCGTGCGGGCTTCGATATTCGTGAGAATGATCCGTGACGTTGTGCTGAAAAGCTTGTCAGGTGTGTCGAGTGTCTCTGCAATCTGCGACAGCGCGTTTTGCAGAGCTGGACACGAGCGCATGATAAACAAGTGCTTGATGGCGCGGAATGCGAGCGGCAGGTCAGGTGTGGAGGCGAGTCTTTGGAACTCGGTAATCCAGTCCTGATTGAGTAGCGTGTTCTGATGGAGCTTGTTGAGCTTGTTCATCGCTTGCAGGTCGGGTGGCTCCACTTGGAATCGCTTGTGCCAGGCGTCAGTCAACTCCTGCCAAGTGAGCTTGGTGTGCAGTTCCGACACTGCTACGCCGTGGCTGGTCAAGATGTTGTCCAGCCATGCTTGACACGCACCACCAGATCGGTGGTACAAGCACGGATGTCGATCGTTGTTTGGGACATGGTGCATGTCGAGCCTGAGAGTGAACTGGCGCCACCACGGGATCGGTTCCGTCTTGGACTGATCGCAGAAGACGGGAATGTCATCTAGCTTGGGTGGGCGCCTGGAGGATGCGGCGGCAAGCGTCACGGTGGCAGCAGCCTGGACCTGCGTCTCCAACTGCAAGTTCGTTGCTTGCTGCGACGTCCTGAAGTCCTGATGCACACGCTTGATATTGCTGACGTCGTCCTCCAAAACTTGAACACGGGTGGCAAGGTTTGAAGGCCCTGCGGCTGCTACAGCAGCTGGCTGTTTTTCCAACGCCTGCAGCCGTGCGAGCATCTGGTCCACTGTCTGCTGCAGGTGAAGGATTTCCTCCTGGTGCAGAACGCAGGTGGCCACGAGGTCGTGGGAGACCTGCGCAAGGGCTGACAGCCCTTTCTCAGTCTCCGGGGCCTCGTCTGCAGATGCCACTTGCACCCAATGTGCGGCCTCATCGCCGATCACGGTCTCCCGCGTGAACAGTCGTTCTTGCTAGCGTGACCGGTGTTCAACTGTTGCCTGCAGGTCTGCCTCCTCTTGACGAAGTCGGTCCTGTTCTTCCCTCTGTCGCTTGGCCTCTTCTTCTTGCTCAATCCGACCACGTTCCTTGGTTGCGGCGGCAGCCCTGTCATTGGCCTCCTGGATGAAAGCTGCCAGGTGTTCCTCATAGGCCAGGACGGATTCTCCCTCCTTCCGGTCCATGGTCTTGGTCTGTGATCGAGTGAGTCGTGGCATGCACTGCTCTGAAGGGCCAATCATTATCATCATAGGCTGGGAAGCAGCACAATGGAAGATTTAGTATCAAAGGACACGTGGACAACAACATGAAAAGGAGAAAACTTCGGAAGGGCAAGACATCAGAAAGATTGCCCTTCCGCTCACACACATGGGGAGAGATCCATAGACATGCGAGAGAGAAGGGGGAGGGRCGGAGGTAACCAAGTCCAACCCAAGTTTGATCTCCGAATGTCGCACACAGTTCAATCCCAATGTAGAGTGTAAGTCCGATCTGAATGTCGTGTCCAATAGGGCAGAATGCCGTGTCCAAACAATGTCTGCAGTTACCTCTATCTCTACTCTGATAAAGAAGAAGAAGAAGAAGAAGAAGAAGAAGAAGAAGTAGAACTTCGGAGGAGTAGGAGGAGAAGAGCAGAGGAGAAGAAGAAGAAGAAGAAGAAGAAAGCTAGGCACTTTCTGCACTTACCTAGCGATGGCTGAACTTGCAGGTACCGCGGAGCCAACTATGGCGCTGGTACAGGTAAGTCCTCTTCTCTCTCTCTCTCTCTCTCTCTCTCTCTCTCTCTCTCTCTCTCTCTCTCTCTCTCTCTCTCTCCACTACCCTCCTCGGAGCTGTGCCTCGTTGCCGATGAGCAGCGCAGCTGCAGTCTCGAAATAGCGCAGCAGGAAGTCTCCAAAATAGCGCAGCAGCGAAGTTCTTGAACCAGCATAACGCTGGATTTCTCCTGGTACCTTCTGTCCACGAACTGGGCAACGACCCAGCTTATGTAGCGCTGGGCCAGGATTGAAAACCCACAGCCTGCGTTCTGGGCCGTGCAGATCAAAATCCGATCCACGGTCCAGATCGCAGGCTTTGAAACTAGTTCAGCCCTTGGCCTAAAACGACCTGCCTGGGTCCCTACCGGACGTCCAGGCCCTGTCTAGGATTCAGTTTCCTGGTACCTGGCTTCGAACCGGTTCTGTGCGGAAGTACCCGGCCTCAACGTCGGCCTGGGTCCGAACAGGTAGCAATCTGTTCGAAAACAAAAGAAAAGGTCCAAACGTTTTTAGGAGCTCAGCCTCTGGGCCTGAATCTGGCCSTGSTCCTAAAACGTGTACCTGGCCACAAAACGGACAACAGTACAACCGTTAGAAAAACAGCAGCAAATAAATAAATAAAAGAATATAAAAATAATCTAAAGCTGGCGTTTTTCTGGTGCACGCCCAAGTAAAAATGCCATAGGGTCTTCAGGTTGCGGTGACGCGACCTGGGGGCCCTATTCCAACCTCGGGTCCCGTGAGGGGCCCGTGTGTAGGCTTTCAGCATGTAACACCTGTCCTATGGCAGACCTGGGTGCCAACCACTTCTCCTATAGGGCGACCTATTCCCTAAACGGTTTTGCGGGGGACCTTGATCCCTTCCCCCCACTTGGCGGTTTCCTCCTCTACCACCAACCCCCTGATCGCCTTGGGAACGACCTCTTGAGGCCCGGTGTTGCACCTTTTCCAGTCCGGCTGTTTCAGGCGACCGGAAAGGCCAACAGGCTGTCACGCAGGATTTTGTTTGTTGATTGCAATAAATAAAATAAATTAAGTAAAGCAAATCCCTTCCTGTTGTGTGCGTCCGGCTTCGAGCGAGACCCTTCAATTGCGGTCTTCGTCGGTCCTCGGTCTTAGGAATCTTTTATTTTGATTCGGAACAGCAGAGAATCGTGCAAATAATAATCATAAAGTTATGGAGTGCTATGCATGCATCAACTATGGCAATCTCATTTTGAGAATTGTGACAAAATCATGCACGAAGCAATCATCAAGCAAGAACAATACAAGAAAGCAAGACCGACCGGCTCGAGTAATGACAGGATCAAATGAATGGGGGAATCTCAGAAAGTACATATGGAAGAGAACATGGCCAGCACCGATCAAGAGTCCTCACTCCTCCCTCTTAACCTTACACTCATCGTCTAACTTTGTTGTCCGTCGTTTGGGTTTCTTGCCATGTCTCTGTACTCTCTGAGGTTGTGGCTTCTGAATGTAAAGCCACATGAAGCCCAATAGTTCCAAACACTTCCAGCCAAGTCCCATGATGCGGAAGTCAACCATGGCACAAAATTCCTCCCATAGAGTGGGGAGATATGGCTGAGAGAAAATACCCCTCCTGAGATGTGGAAACTCGGAGGGCTCAGTCACTGCCTCGTAGTCGATCTCTGTGGGCGATATGTACCTCTTTGCCAGGTCCACCAGTCCACCCCAATAAGAGCCGTCAGTAAGGTAGTAGGGGACCGGAGGTTTGGGATAGTCCGTGAAAAGCTTAGGACCAAAGCTATAGACTAGTTTTGTATTCCCCTGGAGTCTCTCAACTTTCCATTGCACATACCCGGCTGCTGCTGCCCACACTGCATCAAAATGAGGATGTGTCTCTTTCCCCTTTTCAGGAAGATCCGCAGGTCGTTGACTTTACCTTCAGTGAACTCAGTGAGAACGATGAAGATAGACAAGTCTTCACGCTTGAACCCATCAATCCTGACATACTTGTAGGGGAAACTCTCTTTGGCAGTAATCAAGTTGAGGCTGTTAAGGACCGACTGGTCAACTGTGATGGGATTGATCTCTCTCATGTGTTTGGATAAATAGTCACCCCCAGACAAAGGGAAAGGGGCCGCTTGATTGACTGACGTACACAGCGACCGAGTTGCACGCTGTCCACGGAATAGACGTCAATTACTATAGGACTGGCAGCCTCCGAACGCGTGTTTGAGTGCTACTTGAGAGCCTTTTGAGTATTGTTCCAGGTGCTCTTCCTGAACGCTGTTTCGGGATATTGCTTATGAATGCTGTTTTCCGGATACTGTATCTAAATGCTGTGCCCGAATGCCGACTGAGAAACTGAATGTTGTTGAGTTTAGTGATTGAGGAAAGAATGATGCTGTGTTTACTGGCTGAGGAAAGAATGCTGCTGTGTTTACTGACTAAGGATAGAATGCTGCTAAGTTTACTGACTGAGGAAAGAATGTTGTTGTGTTTACTGACTGAGGATTGATTGAGATCTGCACTGATCGTTGAGATTGAACCTGTGTCTTCTGGCAAAAGCTCAGTCTGGCTGGCATTGACTCAACATGTCTCCAATAAGAACTCTGTTTTGACTCAAACCCCTATGCCAAAACTAGTAGCTGAGGGTTGAATGAACTCGGATTGGAACCTTTAGCAATGCTGATGACTGAGTGCTGCCGAAACAATCAATTGCTGAACACTGACAGTTTGAGTAAACTACAGATCCCGATCGATTCTTGCCAACCGGGGTGCGTGTAGTGGCTTTCAAGAGCGGAAACTCGACACGCCTGCGTTCAACAGAGCTCTTGCTCTGGCCTGCCCCACCGTTTCCAACGATGAACTGGTGCTATGCAGCTTTCCACAATGGTCATCTCTTCCCTATACATACTAAAGGATGGAGAGGGCCCGGCGACATGCCCTGTCGCGAGCCCAGCGAAAATGTCGGGAGCCGGGCGGCACATGGAGGAGGCCGGAACCGGGCAGCGGGACCGCAAATGTAGAGGCGGGGTCCAGGCCTCAGCGGAGGAGAGGCCCACGAAATTGGCAGCGCGCAGGCGGCCGATAGGTCCGGGGTAGGCCGGCGCGATGGAATTGGTCGTGGCTGGCGTGAAGGGGGACACAAGGAATGGCTGGGGCGCAAAAACGGAAGCGGGCGGGGCGGCATGAGGCCGGCGCGCCCCCGCGTCGGCAGGAGGTAGGGGGAGGCAGGAGGTAGTGCGAAGGAGGGGAGGGTGGGAGTACGACGACCGATTGAGCGAATTGTGCGCAGTGGGAACGACGGGGGAGAGAGAGAGAGAGAGAGAGAGAGAGAGAGAGAGAGAGAGAGAGAGAGAGAGAGAGAGAGAGAGAGTACATGGATCGATTCGTTGGCCATATTCAACCAGGTACTGTATATTTCCATAGAGAGAGAGAGAGAGAGAGAGTACTTGGATCTATTCGTTGGCCATATTCAACCAGGTACTGTATATTTCCATGTTCTAGCCGAAGATTCAACCAGGTAGTGTATGTTTCCATGTTCTAGCCGAAGATTCATTGGATGTTGCTCATCCTATCGATGGAAGTAGCATGGCGCGAGCCGCGAGGTCAGACAGTTATCGTCTCTCTCTCTCTCTCTCTCTCTCTCTCTCTCTCTCTCTCTCTCTCTCTCTCTCACACACACACACA